GGACAAATAAGCCCGTTATCGGGTCATATCAGTTGGATTTGATAAGTGCACAACTAAGGCTGCAATGCTTGATAAACGATTGCTTTAGAGAGGTGTTCTGTTTGACTATAAGGAACGAATCAAGCCCCTAATAGATGTTTCCTGCATTACACAGAGTACTGAACCAAACTCTGCTCCCATGTACTGTTATCTTTTTTTTCAAAGAACAGGATGAGCAGGAGCGTCGCAAAAAATATTCGAAAATTCACGTGAGCAGGGCGTCAAGGACATTCTTAGACACAAATATCTTAGCCGTTTAAAGCAGTGACCTGCAGCGCAAGCCCCACTTAGAGCTCATTTCGGACCATTTCTGAAAGAGCTGCGGGAGCTGCGCAAGTATCCAATAGCATGAGACCATCAGCGAGCTGAAATATGGAGTACAGAAAAGGACGTTGTCTCAACGTCCAGATTCTCGCAGAGCTTCGACAAAATAACGGTTGAACTGTTAAGATTCAAAATTTGTACCGCAGTAATTACGCGTTTGTCGAGGCTGTCGAGGAAGATGAAAAGAGAAAAATATAATGCTTTCAGGTAGGCCAAAGGGCTTAGCTACCATACTAGTATTTGGAAAAAATCGACTGAAAAGGACTAAAAACAGAGGAATAGTAGTCGTTACTTCTTAGACACATAGCAAAACTTAATTCTCATCTTCAGCGTATCGAACAGCTTCCTGCTGCGGATTCCCAGGGGCTAAGAGCAGACAGTGAAGGATACTAGCTTTCATTCCATTCGCTGCTTCCACTCTGGAACTTTTTTGTCACTTGTGCGTGCTAGAGCAGATAATGCGAATATCGTATTTCTTACATATACGCATATTTTCAAAATTTTCTGACAAAGCACAAAGTATGTTCTGGTTACAACGGATATTGGAGTTTAAAAAAAACTTGCTCTTCAAAGATGTTTTCAGGTTAGCTGAATCGATCTATATCAGCGAGTTTTGATAGAAAGCAGAGAAAAAATACAACTAAAAATATTACGGTATTTTTGGTTCCACTGCTACTCTCATTTTCACTGAAGTACTGGTTTATTCGAAGGGTCTTGAATAAGTAAATTCTACGCAGGACCACTAGAGATCAGCAGCTTTCTAAATGCTTTGTTTGAAACTTATATAAAAAAGAAACACGAGCGATAAAAAGGCCACCAACGGCCTGGTCTAGTTTAGAATCTCTGGCACCCTTGCATTTAATTGAGAAAATCTTGCCCTTTTACTAGAAATTTCCGGCAAAGAAGCATTTCCCGATTATTTGAGAATCTTTGAAATTTCCTCAAAAAAGCTGGATGAAGGAGTGAGCTTTACGATGAAGAGCAAGATTATCGCTGTTATAATTATAGAAGGCATCCAGAAATTGTTGATGTCATCGCGACGATGACCTCTCGCCCTTGCTCCGCCCCTTTCCCTCTTCCATGCAAGGGCGCAGAGCTATACAATAAGCGCTGTTTACTTGCACCTCATAAAGAGCAGTTGCGCTTAGCGTTCTAACTCAATAAGCAATTACTGAACTACCGATTGTTATTGTTATTGTATCACAGAAGGATCTCATCCCAAAGTCTTCCGCACTCATACACATTGGTGTATCAGCCAGGAATCGAACCCGGGCCGCCCGCGTGGCAATTGAGCATTCCACCACTGAACCACCGATTGTCATTGTTACTGTTTCACAAAAGGTTCTCATCCCAACGTCTTTCGCACTCACACAGTTGAGTGCTAGTTAATGTATACGTATTTGGATGTGCATTTAGACAGCCAAGGGCTTTGGCTGAAATCGAGACCACTTCGTGTTTAGCCTGCCAAGCAATGTGCAGAACATGAGCAAATTTTCGCTTTCTTCAAATTCTAAACCCTCTCCTGTCCATTTTTTTCAATCAATCAATCACATGTCAAGAGGCGGTTTACGGTAAAGTAGGAGCAAACGTTATCATCGCCTTGAACACACTTGATTGAATCAGGCGCAGGACAGACAACGGCTCCTTGATGTTATTCTCCGAGTGTTCATGTTTCCGAAGTGCCAGCGACTAGACCAAGCCTGACAGAAAAACAAATTTTCCGACTAGGGTTGTTTCGGCCTTAGCGTTGGTCGTCTTTCGCGCGCTTGGACTCAAATTGAAGCGTTTTGAAAGATATTGAGCACAAAAGGGTAACTAAAAGCCCTAACATAACTCCAGTGTCCTGTCTGTTTAGAACCTCGACATTGTTAGCTAATGTATCGCCACTCCTGTGCCTTCGAGATTTTTTGGCAGTGAAGCTTCATTTTAGCCCTGATGTTGCGACCTCTTCGTCGTCTTCAGAGACCCAAAGTGCTATCAGACTCCGAACTCCTACCCTGCCAAAAGCCATACACGTCTTGGCCAGTGTTTTAATTCGTCCGATATTCGATACAAATGAATAACTCTGTACGAAAAACGAGCTTCCCTTAGCTCCACCTCTTTTGCATCATGAAACAATGAAAATTGAACAAAAGATTCTTTCGTTAGTGCTGAAAGAGTTCAGTAGTTCTCATTCGCACAGCGTGACATCACCACCCAGTTACCATAAAGTGGTAAAGAAATCATCGTTCTAATTCCGCTTTTTTCTTTGTTTCACAACACAAGTCTCTTGCTTGTTATTCCGTTTTTAAGTTTCTCTTTATGCATTTAGGGCAAAATGTTGGCGAAAACGAGGGTGCAATGTTCTATAACTTTAACTACACCTCGTCAGAACTGTCGTACGAACATGGGAGCTGAGGGTAAAATAATTTTATTCTACATAGCTGCTATAGTCATGATCCTTAGTTTCCTTTAATTTCAGGCGATTAACCTACCATTCTGCCGGCGTCAGTTTTTCTAATTGTGGTATTTTTCACTTTTTCATCGCTAAAATTCAACGCAGTACTTTCAGACGAACGGAGAGAGACAACAGACAGCGTACAGAGTACAATGGTAATTCACAGCTGTACTTTCCCATGCATTTTGAAGGCAATATCAAACTATTGTGTTGTCGAGGTCATACTTTCCGTATCCTGAGGTCGTACCTAGTACAGTCTGCCTCATTCGCACTAGCTGCAGTCTAGCAGTGCAAATCGGTATGCGTGGAAGAGCACTGTCTGGCGATAACTCAGATCGTATTAGCAAGGAGGATGTAAAGCAATAAATTATGCCAAAATCCGCGTCAAATCGAGTCAAGGTTTCTAGAAGCACATCGCAGACAGAAGTAACCAGGAATATGGCATGTACCTGCTGACATTGACGATAGTGATTTCGACGAAAAAGCACACCCACACTATAACTGCATTTTGAGTTATCAACGAATTCTGAAATTTCAACACTATGAGCCCTTTTGATCTGTCAACGATGCTGCTAAATACCTTAGGAATATTTCATGTAAGTACCAGCAAAGCATACTTCGTTTCTTTTCAAGCTCACGTTCCATGTATTTTATGATCTTCGAAGTTTTTTTCTGCCGTTTCAGAACTATAGGACAACCTTAATAGCGAACAATTTCCACAGTAAAAGAAAACTCCCAAATGAGTTATTTTACAAATAAGTGGACAGAGTGCGTATGCATGAAGTATCGATTGCGGTAATGATGGAACCATCGCTCGGAAGTAATAAGAACCTCAAATCAGATTTATTGAAGGACTCATTTTCTGCCGAGAAATCAGTTGTTAACAGTACTAGCGATCTTACCTTGTCCTACCTGCCCAGGCAACTTATCAGAGCTTATCAGCACTAGCAGCTCTATATCGGTTCCGTTTGGAAATTGTATACGGAAGCAGAAGAGCATTCCTGATTTAGTATCGACTTTTCCTTCTAATTTGATATGCCAGCAAGAGTTTTATGGAGATGGAAATGCATAAGCTCTTCAAATAATGGGTCTTCTCACCGCTGTAGATTCCCGGATTCCCCACTCCACGCTAAATAGTCTCTCAGCCGATACGCTGAATACTGATCCTATAATGATAGAATAATACCTATATTTTATGGCGAATATAGCTAATTTGGTAAATAATTAAGGGACCTGTTCCTCATGGCCATAAAGAAGTAGAAGAAGAAAGCGCAACTTTGGAAGAAGTCTTTTTGGAAGTTGTAAGAATAAGCGAAAATGTGGTGCACATCTGGCCATCATTCTGAAGTCATCTATGTAAATTTCATAACTTATCGCTTAGCAAGTGCTGCAAAAAAGTCCTTAACAGATTCCATGTTCCTTCTTCTTTAAACCTTGGCATATTACTTACAATTTATTCTTAATTCTGTGCCAGACAGGTTGTTAGGTGGATATTTATTTCGTTGTACGGCCTGACGTTTCGACCTATCGACCTATTCGTCGTCTTCAGAGGCTTGAAAGTGGTTCGAAGTTTCAATTCTCATGTTCAATCCCGCCAAACATCTAGCCCACTCAGCTAGTTCTCGCCTTTCTATTAAGTACGTCATCATAAAAACCTCCCGGATAAGGACGAACGTACCTATAAATAATAAATACAAGAGGCGAAGAAGTTTAATATCAGCAATTGGTAGACACAGGCACGAGGCGCACGGTAAAGATGATTTTGATGTTAAATGTACCATCTTGACATATGAGAAGGACATCTCAACGAGGAAAGCTTAGAAGCGTTCTGGATTTCTGCTAAAAATCCAGAAATGAACAATAGAAATGAGTGTTTATCAATAACGAGTGATTTTCTGCCGTATGTATCCTTATCTGGTCTTTAGACCGTAAACAACTGCGGACCTTCAACCATTCACTTATCCGTAACGACGATCTAAAACTGGTACCGGATTATTCCGCTCTGCTGGTGGATGAAGGGTACGTTCGTCCTTATCCGGGAGGTTTTTATGATGACGTGCTTAATAGAAGGGCGAGAACTGGCTGAGTCGGCTAGATGTTTGGCGGGATTGACCATAAGCATTGACACTTCGAACCACTTTCAGTCCTCTGAAGACGACGAATAGGTCGAAACGTCAGGCCGTACGACGAAATAAATATCCACCTAACAACCTATCTGGCACAGAAGTAAGAAGAAAAAGCAAAAAAGTCCGTTATCAACATCTCGAGCAGATTATTGTAAGGGAGCAGAGCTAATAGAAGAACTAGCAAGATGTGTTCGATACCACCTAATCTAGTCGCTCAAACTCAAGGAGAGATAAATATCTGGTGAAGCGATAATAAACGGGGCTACTACCGTTCGATAGGTGCTGGCGTAACTAGAAAATCCTAAACTGAGAAGGTATAAGTTTTTGTCCATCCGGAATGTGAAGTCTCAAATCTCACTTAATTTCCTATGAAAAATGCCAAAAAGAGTGTTCTTTGTAGAGAAAAGCAAATTTCGGCCCAGACGCTTTTCTATGTAAACGCGCTGCTGCTAGTGCCTCTATGGATGCATGCGAAAATACTCCGTTTTACTATTTTTCATAGAAAATTGAGTGACATTTGCGACACATCATAACTCCGGCTAAACAAAAACTTACGCCTTCGCACTACAGGTACTTCTATTTACGCCAGGATGAGTGGTACTGGTCCTGCTCGTTATCGTTCCACCAACTATTTACTCTTTCCCGGTGGAAGCCACAACCAACCGCTATTGAAGCGATAGCTGCTACATATCATTGTATTTGAAGTGTAGAATGAATTTTAGTGTGTGGATGAGGCGGACCACATGAAATAAAAGCCTAATGAATGCGTATCAGCTTTGTCCTCGTATCCTCTATCAAAAATTCAGTATTGTTCTAGTGGAGTGGACTGGCACTAAATTATAAACGACGATGAAATTCAGAAAGGGCAAAATGAGGCCCGGCTGTTGTGAAATTCACAAGAATCATTGGAAACGTGGAAAAACACAGCCACTTACGTTAATGGCAGTGTGATCCTATTCATAAAGAGCAAGCTTTCTCTAGAGATGAGGCTGTAATAACAAACGTGCAACTTCTATAAAAATGTGTGGGGTGCACTAATGTTCAGAACTGGTAGTTTTCGGCATGTTCGTCTGCGCATTAGCTGCATTGCTGGTATGTCGTCTGACATAAATATCCATCACTCATCATATTCTTCTCGATTTTCTTTCATGTACCTCAGCAAGGGTGGTGCATTTATCGCGCAAATGCAAAGCAGCAGTGATACCAGATGTCGTGCTTAACTGCGTGCGACTCCCACTTGTAACTGCCGTACTAATCTCCAGCGCGTTGTTGGGGGATACACAGACATTGGATAAAACGTGCTTGCTTCTAATCAGGAAAACATATATGCCTCCCCTTAAACTAACACAAATCAGGACTTACTGAAACAGATCAAACCATATTGAAGCCAATTTTAACGCATTCATGAATACCCGCATCACGCAAATTTCAGGACACAGGTATCCATAAAAGTTCTGAGTATTCGAGAAAAGATGTAGACGAACAAAATGAATTTCGAACAACGCCGGTTCAAAACGTATCGAAAGAATGAAAAAAAATTTTAAAGCAGCGTTGTTACTTTACTAATTTCCAACATGCGGAGGCTCAAGTCTTTTCGCTTGTTGACAGCCATTTCCTATCCGAATACTTGAAACCGGCTAAAATTCGTTTTACAATGTACGATCGGTTTTCTCAAAAATCCTCGCTGTTCAGCACGAAACTGGCTAGTATACAATGTACAATAGGTTTTCTCAAAAACCCTCGCTGTTCAGCATG